CTATCCCATCTTTGACCCCATGCCGGACCCTCCGGCAGCATGCAACTTGTTCTAGCCCGCGTTCCTGCCTGCAGGTGCTTCATGCCAAGGCCAGCCAATAGTGGTTGGCGAGTCCGCGCCTGCCTGAATGGTGCGCCAATCCCATCTCGGGTTAGCGCTCGATAGATTGAGTTATTGGAGGACTATTTGCAATTAGTTTTGACCCTGTGCAAAATGCATGGAGCTTGTCCATGGTCAACCAACCCAATACACGACAAAAGCTTTTTGGCTCTGAGGGTTTGCACGGGTCTTCCTATTGTTCCAGGAGAGGATGAAGCGTTCATGGGTGACCATTTTGATTCAAGCCCAGGCTCCGAAGGTTGGGTTTGGACCAGATTTCACATGTCCATGACCAGTTTAGGTTAATTGTTGAAGCCACTCGCCCTGCAGGTCTTGGTGGCAATAGTTCAGGGCTCAACAAGATGCACGGACGAATCGTGAAACCCAAAACATTGAATACTCATGCAAGCATGCGTGCATGGAACCTGCAACAGAGGTGCTCCTTCTTTCGTGGCGCACATGCCTCGATTGGGGCAAGGGCTACAACCTGGTAGAAGTGTTTGCTGGACAGGGGCGTGTTTCTAAGCATTGGCACTCCATTTGCAATCAGCCCAAAACCCACCTACCATGCATGGATAGCATCACAACTTACACCCGCATCGATGCACTGGAATTGAGGCACAGTTTGGGCCACAGGGTGGCTTCCATCGATGCTGACTATACAGGGCCCATGGACTTTAACGCAGTTTCTGGGTTTCTGAACCTTTCCTGCACCATGGACGGCCACGCATTCAAGAACACATTTTCGCTATATATACATATCATTCGATACATGGTTAACCAGTATACTCCACCCCATCTGGCAACAGAAGATCTCAATAGTTTGTCGACGCCAGCATCGGCCCAAGGATCACCCTCTATGCTATCATGTGCGCCTCCCCACGGGGGGCTGTGCCTCTTTGCGCCGGTCTGCAGCAGTTGGACGATACCTTGCCGTTCGACAAGCGGCCGGTCATTGATCAACATCCTAGGGAACATCCAATATGAGTTTGTAGCTAGTGCAAACAAGATGGTTGCACGGAATCTAGGCTATATTCATGGTTTTTGTTGTGTATGATGGCCATCTATGTTGGGGGAACCGGGGAAACCTTCCTATATGCAGCTTAGGATGACCCTGGCACTCATCGTGGCTGTTGCCATGAACTTGCTTTGGATTGTAGAACAGCCTTCGCAATCTCTTCTCGAGCATCACCATAGATTTTCGTGGTTTATCAATAAGGTGGTTTGGGAAGCTTGGTCCAAAAAGAGTGGCTGAATATATGACGTGATATGACGTGCTCTTGTTTGAAGACCCACTTGCCAACACTTATATATCTTGAATGAACTTGAACCCTAGGCCTTTCAGTCGCATTGCTGGATGATGCACCACGGCGCCGATACATCCAAACGTACCGTCTTCTACGGGAATTTGTCAACACTCAACCACCTGGATAAGGGGACCCTGACCATGGCAGAGGAGGAGTCCAAAACCAAGGTCACCACCACCAGAACCTTGGGATTGATATTGTATCGATCCACTTGCGCGTGTGTTGAAAATCTTGATCAATATAGGGCCAACTTTGTGCCGCATTTGCCTTTCTTATCGAAAAGCCGCCCCGCTTGATCGAGGATCTTATGTAGACCGTCATGGGGTCCGCCGGTTTGTGGGAAAGGCCAAAGAGCTCAAGCAAACGCAGTCTCCTGGCCTTGTTTTTTGCTCTTTGGGGGGGTTCAACACCAAACCCAAAACAGCCAAGCGTGAACCCACTCTGAAAACGTGCTCAGGTCATACCCTACTGGACTAGGAAAATGCCTGCAGGAGTTGTACATTGAGGAGTTGAAGCGCCCACCACGCGGTGACCTGAGGGTTGACAAGACACCTGATCCATCCAAATCGCAGGTGGATCTTTTTACAGAGCTTCCGGTTGGCGACATTTGGAAGGATGCTGATGTGATCCCCGCATTCAATTACTTGTTTGAGCGGACAAGGACCAACTGCTGGGGCTTGGGTTCTTTGTGGATCAAGCAAAATCCTGACTGCCTGTGCACAGGCCTAATCCGCATGAAAGCTTTCAACTTGCCAAGTAACTTATATACATGTTCAGGGGTTGGAACCTAGTCAACACCACACCCACATCAGTAAGCAGGTTTGGGAAACCGGTTTGTGGATATAGGGGCCTTCGATCAGCCATGTTCAGCCTGACGCGAAGCCTGCCAATCCAGTTTTGAGCGCCGCCGCTTGGCCTGCGCAGGATCCCCGAGGAATGGCAGCCAGCGTTTGTGCAATTCAAAAAAGAACTTGACTCGCTGGACCCTAATCTGCAAGCCAGTTGGCTTGTGTTATGCGTTCATGAGCTTCGAACATCTTCGAACATGCCTAAGGTGAATGCATGCAGCTGATGTTTTGATCGTATTGCCACACTGCCTGACCAAATTCGAAAGCTTTTAGATAAATTCGACTACTTTTGCAATTCAGAGTGTGGGCGCAGCAGTTTGAAGAAATTGGGGCGGCGCAACTCGCGCGCAATTTTGCGCAACCCGGGCGCAATTCCGCGCAACCGAGCGCAATTTTAAAATCTAGTACGATCGGAGCCGTCCAAGCGTGAACTTTTGTCTAAATCCGTCCGTTTTTGTTGCTGTGCTTTTTCCTGCGTAGCGCGTTGCCTGCAGCATCTTTTGACAATAGTCTCAGCTCGCCTACTTTTGCCAACCGCGTGTTGTTTGGCATGACGGACAGACTTGTTTCCTGCCCGACTCTTGCCTATGGTGCGGAATCGCTTGGCCACAACGCTACGGGGCCATCGGGGAGCCAGGATATTGAAGAGTTGATTCGTGTTTCTTGGATACATGGGTGGAAGTCATGAATGTTGTTCATGTAATTGCATCAAATGTTTGGCGAGCTGAGGCTCAGGAGGAAAAACTTGCAAAGTTGAGGGCTGAATTGAACGGGTGTGGTGGGGACAACGAGACGGACCCAGTGCCAGTAGTTGAAGGCTTGCTTCCCATCTATGCATTTGGCATTGACGCCCATGAAACGTATTGAACATGTTGCCATTCTTGCGCAGGTGCTCCAGTGATTGCCTTTGCTACAGGTCACTATCCTGCCGGTGCCCGTCCATGTGAGACCATGCAAGTAGATTCCTCCCACAACAGCTTGAAGCACTCTGCAACAGCTGTTTCCATTGCTGAATCTATTCCCCCGACACAGGCTGTAGAAACACAGGTCGTACAGGCAGAGCCCGCGAAGAGTCCCGTCAGACGGGCTCTTGACCTCGAGGACACAAGGAGTCCATCAATGCACCATGATGCCCAAGAGCGGTTTACTCAAACTCCAGTGCACATGTTGGGGGACCAGGCGCGTGGGCTAACAACTCCTTGTGGTACACCTGCGCCAAGCCCGGTGCAGCAGACACCCCAGCCACCTTCCAGCTCCAACGGCAATGAGAAGGATGCCTTGTACTGGAGGCTCTACACTTTGTTCCAACTAGTGTGCGCTAGGCTAGTGCTTCGCGGTTTCCACTGCTGACCCTTTGCGGTTTCTGCGTTTCACGTTGCACAGGATTCGGAGACATGTGATGAAAAATGGGGAGTGCTCAGCTGCGGCCTTGGACCTCTGGAAAAGCAAGGATGGACGCCTCTTGTCTGCAGAGGTGTGAAAGCTAACCCATCCAACGCAGCCCCTTTGCTCAGTTCTGCGCTATTTGTCCCAGGCTCGAAATTGCGCGAGCTTATGCTGAAGAACAACATGGACTTCGCCCGTGTTGAAGTGGACTTGAAGCGGACCAAGAGCACCAGTGTGGGTCAAAGGAGGTCTGGTAAATGGGTCACGAAACACTACCTGATGAACACGCTCAATTGGACGAAGACAAGCCCTCAGGTTAATATGCTGACCAATTGGTGCGCGCAACTAATAGCCCAACATATTTTGTTTCTTTCCTAGGAAGATGGCGGACAACGCATTCTCCTGGGCAGAGACAAATGGTCTGATCCGGGTGAACGAGATGCATGGGGAACAGGAGGCCAAGTTAATTCTCGATGATGAATTTCATCATGACCAACAACAATCAGAACACGTTGAACAAACCAGTCGAATGGATGTTGAGGAACTCTGCATGCACTAAAGTTTTGTCCACCGTTCAAATAAGAGGAACCCCTCCAATTGAAGTGAGTGCCAAGGACCCTGATGGTCGGTTCATGGAATCAAACATGCCCGGAAGTCGCCTGGAGATCCTGAAGTTCAACCAGGCCAATGAAGGGATAAGGCCTGAGGACCAGGCAGCTGCCAGCTCAGGATCGTTCAAGCTACTTGGGTGAGGGAATAGTCTCTTGAGATGGTGGCCTGAGATGTCCTTTTTTTGAGGGTGGCCTGAAATGTCCAATTTTTGAGTTGAAAACCCTTTGCTCAGGCCACCCCGTCTATCGAAACTTTTTGCGCGCATATTATAGATCGTATATACGTGGTATATAATCTATCTCTGTGGCCCTCTCGCTCTTTACCTCCCATGTCCTGTCCCAGTGCCCAGGCTTGTCTTCCCTACAATTGCTGAGAACTCACACGCCGTCACGGTCCTACCCAGCTTCATTGAAGTCTGCGGAAGGAAGATTGATTCAGTCACCGCTGTTCAGGACTGAGTTTAAAGCTGGACATGGTTCGTTGAACAAAATAAATACCGGTCATATTGTGTCCATGATTTCACCCTCACCCTATACAGGAGAAACTGGCCAACCTGAAAACACACCAAGCGACAGAGCTGGCTGCCCAGTTCTGTTCTTGTAGATATCCAGTTCAAGTTCAATCCACCTACCATGGCACCTTGGTTTGTCCTCGAGCCCAGGCATTCGAAGCAGATTCAGATCCAGGTGAACCATATGCAGTCCATCTACGAGAAGCTGGAGAATCTGCAGGGGGAATGCGCTGTGACTCGAAGTGCGAAGCGCCCCAGCATGCTCTAGATCATATATGTTCACCTTCCGGGGCACCAATATCACACCTGTTTGCGTATGGGCTTTGAGGCCTGAGACACAAAAGCAGATCTTGAGCCTATGTGCAGAGTGCACCAAAACCGATGTTGCCCTCAATAATTTGGTTCTTCGTGCCAGGACCAGTGTCTGCGGGGTTGGGATAGGCCAGGTTTCCACACCTATATATATATAGTGATGATAAGTAGGTTCTATAGCTATCTCAATCAACTCAATCCTCCTAATTCGTATTTTAACCTCAACCCACTCCCCAACCCTTGGCTCCAGGACGATGAAGCCATCCAGTAAGCCTGCGGCAAAGTCCGGTGCAAAAGCACGCCCGAAGAAGGGTGGAAGGAAACCAGTCAAGAAAGACTAGGTTTGCCAATTGTTTCCAGTTTGCTGGTGTGGGCAACCAATTCCCACGCTGCAATTAGAGATGTGGGGTATCGCTACGCGCACCCAACCATAGTCAGAGTTGCCTGCAGCTGCACAGCTCAGAATCAAAAATATTTTTTCGATGGCTAGCTACACCGAAGTTGATGTTTGTTTCCTTTGGCAACTCTGCGTGGGCCAGCGGAGTTGAATATGGGGTACGGGGTGGACCTGCCAGAGATCTGAAAAACACGATCAGGTAAGTGATGGGATCTGTGCGGCAAACCTCGAGGTTTGTTCACAACCAAGACAGGTTGAATGGACGCAAAAGGGATCACACCAGCTGCTTTTGGTGCGATCCCTTTTACGTCCTCTCACCCTGCATTGGAAATCTCATTGCTTTCACCCTCACCCGCAGGTATATCCAGGGATGGGTGCTTCGAGAGCCGCAATGAATCTAAACGCAAGTTTGAAGGCAGGGATTTTGTGAGGAGTTCTGCTTGTGACAGCCTGAGACCCAAACCCCTGCCCCGCTCACTCCCACAGCCTCTTTTGCCATCAGACGAGTCCGACCTGGAGTCCGACCTGGCCGATGAGCTTCTCAGCGGGTTTGAGATGGGGGTTGCTTGCCAGCATTTAGTCGAATGCATGACAAGATCGCCCATTCGAGCTCAGAAATCCAGAAACATCAAATAGCATCAAATTGGGCCCCC